GGAAGCAGTTCAAATTGGGCTGGCAGGCAAGGACCAGGGCAGAGACAAGACTACGATGTGGAGATGTGTGCACAGAGGCCGAATGTGGCATAAGGAGGACCCAACCACCCTCAGGGCCTCTGCAAGCCCACTCATCCTTCCGCATCATCCTTGAGAGCCATTTCACTCTGATTCCTGCCAGCAGTCACCCTGTGAGCACAGATGAGGGGCTCTGCCCTGTCAGACACACATTACACCCAGAAATGCAGTACAGCCCTGGATCAGGAACGGAGCCCAGGACATGTTGGCTTCCAAAAACATATATACTCAGAGCACTGCATAATAGGCCGGCAGTCAAGAGACTGATGTGGCCCAGAAGCCAGGCCTTGTGCGGCTAACCCTGCCCACGCTTGTGAAGCTCCACAGGTGCCAAGAATGAGGCAGCCACCTTCTCCCCACCCCGTTCCAATCCCATGTCCCCCACAAGGGACACCATGTGGGGACAGAACACAGCAAAGGGTGGGAAGGCTGCTACCCAGGCACTTCACACACAGATGCACATGAGCACACATACAAACGCACTCACACGCCCTTAGGCCGAGCCTGGTTCCGAGGCCACACTGGGGCTCTGCCTCCATCCCGCTTGGTCCCACCTGCCCAGTCTCCACACCCCCGAGGGCTATAAGCTTCTCTGCAGGTCTGCTCTGAGTTCTGAGGCACGTTGGAAAACCTCATTTCCTATTTTAAATTAAAAAACAAAACAAAACAAAAACAAAAAACACACACTGTGAACGTGCACTCCACATAATAGTACACTCCTGGGTTCTCAGTGCAGTCCTGAAAGCAGGCTGCCTAAAGGGCGAAGCTGTCCCGATGCAGTGTCGGGACTCAATAAAAACAGACACCTGAGGTCACCTACTATAGTGGTTGGCGCATATCTTCAAGGTCTTGTCCCTCCTCATGAGGAGGCGGATGGTCCCCTTTTCCTTATGCTTCAGAAGCTTGACGTCACCAGTGCCTCGTTCCTTCCATTCTGGGAGATCGTTCTCTGAAGCAAATCGAAACAGCTTTGCCCGCCTTCAAGAAAAGCCATTAAGCGAGAGCTTAGACACATAAAAAAGGTAACAGATAAGTCAAACACTTGCTTGGGAAAAAAGTACTTATTTTCTGGGTGTTAAACAAATAGCTGTATCTGATGTCTCTATACCTTTTCCTTTCTTTGCACTCAAAGAAATACAAGCCAAAATGTCACCAAAAAAGCAAAAGAGCAAAAAAGCAAATTCCAAGTTTTAACTTGACAGTAAGAATAAAAGATTTCTAGTCACATTTTCGGACAGAAAAACCTGACCCCTCAGCAAAGTAGCTCACCTGAGTCTGCTGGGCATGTCTGTGAACATGGTGCAGGGGCTTCCTGGTGCCCTGTAGGGCCACAGGGACAGCATGGAAGCAGGTGGAGGCCAACGACCCCTGCCCTCCACAGGGTCAACCCTCCCCTCAGCTGTGAGATGCCCCCTATGCTTCCCCAGCCCCTAACAGGCCACCAGGCTGATCCGATACACTGCCTTTCTGCCCAGTACAGCACCTAAGCAAGGCCCCCACCCCAGTCCTGAGCCCAGCAGTCCTGCCCTTGGGATCAGGCTGACATCTTCCCATCACCACCAACCACGCCTGCCCTTTAGCTTCCCCACAAGACCCCAGCTCTGCTGATCCCTTTTCTGCAGAACATTCTGCTCTCTCCTCCAAAACTCAAATGTTAAGGGAGACCGCTTCTCACAAGGATGCCCCGAGGGCTTTGACCAAGAGCCCCAAGGGCCCAGATACAAAGGTCAGACTTGCTGACCTTACTTCCCTCAGGAAAGGCCTGTCTCTAGGATACCAGGAGCACCTCCCAACCCCACAGGGACAAGGAGGTGACAGCATAGTACCACCAGCAGTCCCCACTATTAGGAGGAGCCAACCCCTGGCTGCAGTATCATTTCTGGACAAAGCAGAGAACCAGTGTCTTCAGGGAGACGCCCACCTTCTGAAACCAAAGGAGCACATGCATCTTTCCTTTCCCAGGCCCTTGAGAGTTGTGGGGACCTGTTCTCCCCAGGCTCCCTTCCTTACAGGGAGGGATCCCAGTGTTGGGTGACTGTCTCTGCTCCCCTGTCCCCACCCAAAGCAAAGCACTCAAACCATAACCCAGTATCTTGGATGGGTTTGAAAGGGGGTGGGGAAGTTTCACAAGCTTGGACAGAGGAAACACTATACCCAATTCCCATTAACTTGTAGCATTTCCTGAAATTAAGAATGCACCCATCAGGCCACAGGTCACACTTTGTCACAGATATCTTGACAACACTGCTTCAAAACAACACAAAAGACCCCCCACATCCCCCCAAAACACCAACCCTGCAACTCTGTAAGCTTCTCACTGAAGACACTAAGAAGCACAATCACAGTCATTTTAAAAATCTAGTCTCAGTAACTATACCACCACCCACCCTATGCATAATTCTAGGCATTATTTTGTGCATTAAAAACAATCAATCAGGGACTCATAAGCTTCAGACTGCCAAAATCCATATACAAAATAATAATAAAAAAGACAGACTCCCTGCTCAACTAGGGGAAAAGGGGCTGTGGGATTTGGTGGGGCATGGGGGGATGCACCTTTGTGGACTGAGGAGCAGCAACAGGACACCAGGGAGTGCCTGTGCCCTCCACATCATGGAGCAGCAGGGGCATCTAGTAATAAGTTATGTAATAAGTGGGTTCTAATAACAGCCTTGATTAATCATCACACAATTCCAGGCCCTTTTTTTCAATAACACACATTTTTTAAAAATTATCATTATTCTTTAATCCTCACCCAAGGATATTTTTACATTTATCTTTAGACAGAACTGGAGAAAGGGAGGAAGGAAGAGAGAAACATCGACGTGAAAGAGACACATGGATTGGTTGCCACCCAAAAAACCCCAACTGGGGCCAGGGACAAATCACAACCAAGGTACGTGCCCTTGGCCGCAATCGAACCCGGGTCTCTCTGGTCTGCGGGTGACGCTCTTACGTTGAGCCACACCAGCCAGGGCCCAGGCCCTTTCTTCAGCCTCAGTCCAACTTAAGGTCAGGCCAAGACCTTGGCACCCATAAAAAGCATAAATTCCGTCTTAATCTAAAGATATTTATTTCTGAAACAAGATCAGTTACTTACATTTTAAAAAGCTCCTCTTCATCTTCTTCCAGCGTTTTAATTTCTTGCTCAGGAAGAGAAACTATAGGCTCAAACTGAGGGTCGTGGTTGGACTCGTCTGCATTCTCGGTGGAGGTATCATGGTCCTCATGGATGTCCTATGGAGGGAGGTGTGGAGAGTTGACTGGCGGTGAGCCTGGCCTCACCCCAAAGCAAGAGATTAAGCCTACAGCCTTTCACACTAAGAAAGGTTTGCCTGTCTGTCCAGCACAGTGAGACAGACTGGGCTTCAGCACCCTCCCCTAGATGCATCAATCACATCTGACTGGGGTTCCTAAAACTCACCCACCTAGTAACCAAGTGGCCTGGGAAAAACTGCCCCATTTCTTTGAGCCTGTGTCCTCATCTGTAAAATGCAGGTAATGATACTTCCAAATTTTGATTAAAAGACACAATAATAGACGAAAGAGGGCCATACAGCCCTTTGAGATTTTACTGGTTGAGTAAAATGTGCTCTTGCTTAAGAAAAAGTTGGGACTGCCAGTTTTCACAAAGACGTAACAGTTCTGTCAGCAACTTAATCTTGGCTTGGAAATTAAGTTAAAAGAAATCATACAAATAAGAGCCACAAAATTCTGGTCTAGTTTAGAGAATTACAAGGCACAAAGGATCTTATTTTAGGTTCGAGTCATACAGAACACGTGGCTTGATTATCTATAAAACTATAAGAAACCCGGACACTTCATTACCAGATTCAAGCCGAAAAAGAAAAGATAAGCAAGCCTTCGCTGCTTTCCTTGGTTGGGCAGCACTGCGGCTCCATCGGGGCCAGCTCAGCAGAACAAGACACCCGCTGCCAACAAAGCCGCCCCAACCCCGGCTTGGCGCGTCCAGACACCCCCCCCCCCCCCCCAGGAACGCGAGAGCTTCCGCCGCAGAGGCCTGTGGCGGCCGAAACTAAGGCAGAATGAATGAAGTGCTGCGTAGACAACGGGAGGGAGGGATGCACGATCTTGGTAGGAAGCCTGCAAGTGGGCCGTGCCGGAGGAAACCGGCCGCCTGCCCTGCGTCCTAGGCTAGCGGTGAAGTGGACAGGATACCAAGCAGCTCCGGCGGTGGGGCCGCCCCAAGGTCGCGTGGGCACCCTGCAGCCCCGGGCCCGAGCCCGCACCCCCAGGTCCTGCGCGTACTGGCCCCAAAGATCTCGAGTCCCCAGGCCGCACTCCCCACAGCCCGACCCTGGGCCACACAGACCCGCAAGCGCCAAGACCGCAGGCCAGCGGGGGTTGGCGGCAACGGCGCGGGCCGCCCACGTGGCCGCCGATACTAGCATCGGTCCCTGGCCCCCGCCCATTACACGCCCGGGCCCAGCCGCACCTTTGCGGCCGCCATGGCGGCGCGGCGGCGAGAGCGGCGCGGCTGGCTTGGTCGTCGCTGTCTCCGGGGCCTCTCAGCAGCTACTCGTAGCTCCTTCACTCCGCGTCTGGCGCCGGCGCCTCCCGCCCGCCCGCTCTCTTTCCTCCGCCCAGCGACCCGAACCCTGACCCCTGACCCCGGCGGCGGGAAACGCGCCGCGATTCAAAACCAGTGCAGCTTTATTGGCTCAGGCGACGGACATTCTCATTGTCCGGCCCGCCCCGTGCTTCCCGCCAAAACGCTGGCGGCGCATGCCCGGCCTTCCCGGCAGCCAGAGGAGCATGCGCTCCCGACGGCCCTCGCGCGCACTTCCGCCTCTCGGCAGCGCGCGGTCCTCGGACTTGAGAGAGCCGGAGCCAGATGCCGGCGCGCGGCGATGACGTAGCCGGAAGCCAGGATGATAGAGACGCACCACCTTGTCCGCCTGCATGCGCTGTGCCACTGAACAGCCGCAGGCGAGGCGAGTGGCTGGCGCGAGCCTCTGGCTGGCAGGAGGTGCACCCCGTGCTCGAGACCGGGACCTGAGACCCGAGGTTTCGAGTCCGCGGCCTCGGGGCGTCAAACCCTTGCCTTGAGAGCCCAGGGAGAGGCGGTGAAGGCGGCCCTCAATCCAGGGACCCGGACGATGAATGACAACCTCAACAACGAAGTAAAGTGAAAGGAGATCCTGGCGAGCGACGCGGGGCGGGGATGGTGGACTTATTGGAAGGGGATACCAAGAAGATGGGAGCTTGGTGGGGAATCCTTGGGGATGGGAGAGGAAGGGAGTGGAGGGTGATGATGATAGAAACCGGTGGGGCTGGGTGTAGGATGCACGAATGGAGGACTGGATGTGAGGCGAGGAAGCCTGGGCGTTTGGGACCCAGAGTCCATCCCTCATCCCAGCCCCTGCCTGTCCCCACACAGGGCCCCCGGCCAATGGAGGGCTGTGACCAGGACAGCAGCAGTGCCCTGGGCATCTCTGCAGCCCCAGCCCCACACAAGGAGGAAGGGGCTGGAGTAGCTGCAAAGTCAGAGCCTCAGCCTGGGCTCTACAGCTACATCAGGGACGACTTGTTCACTTCAGAGATCTTCAAATTGGAGCTGCAGAACGTGCCACGCCACGCAAGCTTCAGTGATGTCCGGCGCTTTCTGGGCCGCTTTGGCCTGCAGCCCCATAAGACCAAACTCTTTGGCCAACCTCCTTGTGCCTTTGTGACATTCCGCTGCGCTGCTGAACGGGACAAGGCCTTGCGTGTGCTACACGGTGCCCTCTGGAAGGGCCGCCCTCTCAGCGTGCGCCTGGCCAGGCCCAAGGCTGATCCTATGGCCAGGAAGAGGCAGCGTGAGGATGAGGGTGAGCAGCAGGCCACATGCGTAGCTGATGTAGTGACCCCTCTTTGGACTGTACCGTATGGTGAGCAGCTTGATCGAAAGCGGCTGGAATGTGAACAGGTGCTGCAGAAGCTGGCCAAGTGAGTGTGGGCAGTCACTCCCTTGACACCGGAGCTCTGTTCAGTTCCATGCTTGTTCAGCTCTACCTGTGCTCTGTACAGACACCCTTGGCATCTACACAGGCTCTTGGGGAGCTAGCCAGTAAGATTCCTGTGTTACCAGTGGGGTCCAAAGGGAGGGGCCCAGGTGCCTGGGCTTTTGGAGAGTTGAGATGGATTGGGGATGGTGGGCTGAGTCTAACCCTGATTCCACTTCACTCTACAGGGAAATTGGAAGCACCAACCGTGCCCTCCTACCCTGGCTGCTCTCACAGAGGCACAAGCACAACAAAGCCTGCTGCCCACTAGAGGGGGTCAGACCATCACCCCAGCAGGTCAGGCCCACAAACCTTGACCCTGTGCTCTCAAAGAAGCTATCCTCACCCATTCCTCCTCCTGCTTTGCATTTACTGCTCGTGTTGGTCATGAGACTGCTAATTGTTGTCAGTCTTATCCCCTGGATTGTCACATCCTGTGGGGGATCTGGGGCATCTCACACATTGCCACCTCCCACTCACTCATGGTGGTTCCTTCCATGCACAAGTGGTAGACTGCCAGGGTAAGGTCAGCTGTCTCTCTCTGCCTCCCTCCACTCACCTGCAGACCGAGTATCGAAACAAGTGTGAGTTTCTGGTGGGCGTCGGGGTGGACGGGGAGGACAACACTGTCGGCTGCCGGCTAGGAAAGTACAAGGGCGGGACATGTGCTGTGGCAGCCCCCTTTGACACCGTGCACATCCCTGAAGCCACCAAGCAGGTGGTGAAGGCCTTTCAGGAGTTTATCCGGTGAGGACTTGTGGCTGGGTTGAGGGCTCTGGGATGTTCTGATGGTCTAATAGCACAAAGCCTGGGTCCTGCTGGGGAAAGGGGCGGGGGGGGGGGGGGCTGCTATTATGGTGTCCTGGTGGGTGTGGCTGAAGGAGAGAGCAGGGAGACCCAATTCTGACCAATAGATGCTGGAGACTCAGGGCTGCTTATGGCTTCCACAGGTCTACTCCGTACTCGGCATATGACCCAGAGACATACTCAGGCCACTGGAAGCAGCTGACAGTGCGCACCAGCCGCCGCGGCCAAGCTATGGCCATTGCCTACTTCCACCCTCAGGTCTCAGGCTGTGTGGCCCTGCTGGGGGAAGGTGTCCCATCCAGAGTGTGTTGCATGTAACATAGCCTTACAGGGCCTTTTCTATTTTCTTCTGCAGAAACTGAGCCCTGAGGAGCTGGCAGAACTGAAGGCCGCCTTAGCACAACATTTCACAGTGGGGCCGGGCAAGGCCAGCGGGGTGACCTGCCTCTACTTCGTGAAGGAGGGACAGCGGTAAGGAGTCTGGATGGGAAAGTGAATTGGATACTTTAGGGCTGGTGACACTAACTGACCCCACCCCCCACAGAAAGACTCCCAGCCAAGAGGGCCTGCCCCTGGAGCACGTGGCTGGGGACCAGTACATCCATGAAGACTTGCTGGGGTTGACCTTCCAGATTTCTCCTCATGCCTTTTTCCAGGTAGCCCAGAGATTCCTGGGGATCATAGACACAGAGAGGGGGGCCTGATGTGATACCAGGACATAATTGGGACAGCAGGCTAGGGTAGGCGACAAGTTGTTAGCCTACAAAAGTCTGAGGAAGAGCATTTATGCAGGGAAGCCACAAGGGCCGTGAGGTAGGAAACTGCACTAACTAGATCTTTGTGATAACCCTGCTGGAGAGTTGAATGTGAGTAGTGGGATTTGGGGTGACTCCAGGGGTCTGTCTGGTGAAGTCTTCCATGCCTGATGCTACTGGGGGTAGAGGGGGTACCAGCATCAAGTTGCTTTTAAAGCCAGAACCCTGGGTGAGGTTCCCAGTATCTTGTGGATGAAGGGGCAGTTGGAGGACTAGCCCCAGAGTGTTTAGGCAGTTAGAGGTAAAGGGGTGGGATCAGGTGTACCCTAGGGGATGCAGGCACTTGGTGGGTGCTGCAGGAGGGGAGGCTTACTTGGGCAATGGGGCTGCTTTCACATTCCGGGTCATGCTGGCACACCCTCCAGGTGAACACCCCAGCTGCTGAGGTGCTCTATACAGTCATCCAGGACTGGGCCCAGCTGGACACGGGGAGTACAGTGCTGGATGTGTGCTGTGGCACTGGCACCATTGGCCTGGCCCTGGCCCGGGTGAGCCCTCCTGCCCACCCTAGTTGAGGATGCCCTCCCCCAACCCTCCCATCCACCCTTGTGCTATCACCACTTTGTGACCCCCTCCTCCAGTGACCCCCACCCTGTCTCAGATCCTCTTCTACTCCCCACAATGCATCCTGCTACTCTCTTCCCCAAGAAGTCCCTGGGGTGGTGCAGGGCACCATAAGCCTATATACCCTTTCCTTGATTCAGAAGGTGAAGAGAGTTGTGGGGATTGAGCTGTGCCAGGAGGCTGTGGAGGATGCTCGGGTGAATGCCCACAACAATGGTGAGAGCCAGTGCACCACATAACGGAGTCCCCCCTGGAACCCTACATGGCTTTTAGGGTGGGTGGGGGTATAACACAAACTAACGGGAGAAGGCAAAACAGGGCCCCTACTATGCACTCATGATACCTGGAGCTGCCCGATGGGGAAAGAAGTAAGCTACCTGGCTAAGGCACCTCTGGTCAGGGGCTTCAGGACATCAGGCAGCTTGGCAGGCCCTGTTGGGCAGGGCGTCCTGAGTCCCAACAGGGTTGCTGTCCCTTCTGCAGAGTTGAGCAATGTTGAGTTCCACTGCGGAAGGGCTGAGGACCTGGTGCCTGCCCTGGTGAGCAAGCTGGCCTCCCAGCAGCTCATTGCCATCCTAGATCCACCACGCGCCGGCCTGCGTGAGTACCCTCCATTTGGGGGTGGTACAGAGAAAGGGCAGTGACATCTGGGTAGCACACCAGGCTGTGCAGCCTCAGGCCTGATGTCCACATCCACTGGGCCCCCATCTTCTCTTTGAGGTGGGGACCCTCCCTTGAGGAATCTACCTCCTTAGATTCCAAAGTGATCCTGGCCATCCGCAGAGCTGAGAACCTCAAGCGGCTCCTGTACGTCTCCTGCAACCCCCGGGCAGCCATGGGCAACTTTATAGAGTGAGTGTGAGGTGGGGGATTGGGGTGGAATGGGGCCAGCACCCAGCCCCATGCCCCCCCTCCCTAAGGAGTTCGAACTATGTGGCTGACCTTGACTGCTCCCCTCCCACCATAGCCTCTGCAGAGCCCCATCTAATCGGGTGAAGGGCACACCCTTCCGGCCAGTCAAGGCTGTGGCTGTGGACCTGTTCCCGCAGACCCCACATTGTGAGATGCTCATCTTGTTCGAGAGAGTGGAGTACCCCAAAGGCACAGAAACCCTGGAGCCCCAGGACCCTCCAGCCCAGCACTCACCCAGGTCCCCAGGTGATACCCAGCAAGAAGCTGGGCCCTCCCCTCCTTCCTAGGCTTGGAGCAGTGGAAATGAGTTCTTCTAGATCAGGTGCTGGTCTGCATCACAGGGACAGAAACCTCAAGTCCTTGCCTCGCCAAAACACCCAGACCACAGTAACCAACAGGGCACCAGACCCAGCTGTTTGTTCTTCCTGTCCTGTGGGCTGTAGGCTCTTTGCACACAGACACACACATACCCATTGTTTTTAGAACTCTTGGGCCACAAGAACCAGAATAAACAACTACTGAACTACTTATGTTTCTGTGATGAGAAGTCAGAGCTTTGGCACACAGGGGTTCCTTTGCCCCCCACCCCCCACCCCCACTGCAGTGCAAAGGAACAGAGCCAGGAGGACACCTTGGGGATAAGTGTTAAGCCTGAGGCTTACCCTGCCAGCCCTGGGCACAGCCAAGAATTAACCCAGGTAGGGCTGGGTGTTGGGGCAGTTCTCCCAGGCCCTCTGAAGACCAGAAGTCATAGAGGCGCTTGTGTTTTTTTTATGCTTAACACTGGGTAAAAGCAGATTCAGATTTCACAGACAAAAGCCATGTATATGTGGGGTAGAGAGCACAGGGCAGGGAGCTGGCCCTGCCTGCCTAGCCCTCACTTCCCCTGCACTAAAGGAAAGACCCTCAACCTTCTTTCTTCTCCAACTAGCTCTAAACCCTGAAAAGAAGCCACCTCCATAGTGACCGTGGAAGACGCTGGGCTGGGGGTACTGTGAGCAGCAACTGTACCCAGGCCCTTTGGGGACTGCTCCAGAGAGGTTCTGGCAAACAGGGTCCACAAGGCCCCTAGTCTCCCAGTTAGAAAAAAACACCAGTCAAAACCCTTTGGACAGTTTTGTTTTATGTGTCCAGACAATCAAGGGTCACTGTTACAGCCATGGCCCAGCCACCACCTGGAAAGTACATGATGCACAGAGGTGGCATCAGTAGAGGCTCTTTGCCCTCCACCCCTCCACAGCACAGCTGTGTGCACACAACACTCACACCCATACACGGGACAGAGGAAGGATATGTTGGGGTCACAATGAGGCTCACCCACTTCTAGTAACATGTGCACAAAGCTTTGGTTCACAATGGCGCATCTGGCTGTTTTAAGGGCAAACAGTCACAGTCAAATGATTATTCACAGCTGCAGACAGGAGGCAAGACAGAAGCAAGTGTGTAATTACAGCAACTTGATTGAGGATTCTGTTTTATAAAGGTCAACACAGAAGCCAACCTTGGTCACATAGGTGCTGAGGGAAGGATCCACTGGGTGGCCCACAAGGCCAACATTGTCTTCCTGGAAACAAACACCATCCACAAAGGGATGTGGTGGAGGATAGGCACACCCAAAGAACTTAACAATGCAACCCAGTGCTGTGCTCCTGTATCTGGCAGTGTACCATGAGCATGTGACACCCTGAATAGGTGCTAGGAGCAGAAAACGAATGGCTAACCACCACTACCTTGCATGTGGGGACAACCCAGGGCCACATCTACCCCTGCACCTGTCCACAGGGGCCACCTGGAGAGCACAGGCTCTGGTCAGAGGAGTGAGCTGGTTAACATGCCTGGCTGCAGAGGGCGGCTGCCTTTGAAATCCAGTGAAGCTACCGTCCATGTGCTTGCACCAAATCTGGAGAGGAGTGCCAGTTTGTGATCAAGAATGGATTGCACTAAATGTCCTTATTTCCTCTTCTTAAATAAATCCACGTGCTAAAATTCATTGTTTATATCTGCTACGTGATTCCAAATCTATCTCCTACGCACTGTAAAAGTTTCTTTCCAAATGCTAAAACATCATAAAAGCTTTAAAAATTGAAGGGTGGACAGACGGACTTGACTGTGCAAAATCTTTAGTAAAAAGTTGCCCAGAGGCCAGTGAAGGTGAGGGGCCTCAGTGTGAAAGGAGGTGTGTTTTTAGGGTTTTCATTAAGACTTACTCAGGAGGCCCTGGCTGGGTAGCTCGGTTGGTTAGAGCACTGCCCTGATACGCCAAGGTTGCAGATTCAATCCCCAGTCAGGGCACATACAAGAATCAACCAATAAATGCATAAATAAATGGAACAACAAATCAGTGTTTCTCTCTCTCTAAAATCAGTATTTAGGAAAAAAAAAATTTTAAAAGACTCAGATATGTGGACCACACCCCAGCTCAGGGCTTGGACTACAAGCCAAGCAGAGACTTACACTGGCTGAAGAATAATCGCTTTGATGATTTGTCTGTAATCTCTGAAAAATAGTTCTGGTGCTGAAATGTCACTTTAAACCAAAAAGGTATGAAATACTAGTTCTTGTTATAACATTTTCTGGGAAAACACAGGAGGCAGGAAAGGGGAAGGGGTGCCAGCATGTGCCTTCTGACCAGGTCCCTGCAGTGGCACGCAGGAGCCCTGGGCACAGGGCGCCATAGGACTCAGCCATCACTTTCTCATTTCATCTGTCATCCAACTATTATTTCTTGTCAGTGCATGTTACATACTAAAATTCATGAAAACCTTCATAAAATCGTCCGCAGCAAATCCATACGAGCAGAAGTCATCTCCAAGCTCAGCTTCCACATGTGCGGGCAGGCTGTTAATGCTTGAACATGTCCACTCAGATCTGTGGATGACCCAAGGAAACGGTACAGTACAGTACAGTATGTGGCCCTGGCTGTCCCACACACTGGAGCCCCACCCCTCAGACATATGGCTACAGGGGAGGAACTTAGAATGGAGGCAAGAGGCTGCAGAGTGAGCGGCGCGTGATCTCCCCAGCAGCAGAACTGGCAGCCCCCATGCCCGGTCCACCACCTCCTCAAACGTCCACAGTGCACAGGGGCTCGCCACCAGGCTGGGCAGATGCCACAATAGACATCTTGGGCTTCTTCCGTGTCTCTTCCTAGAAAAACAATGAAGGTCAGGGATGCCAGTGAGGTGGAAACATGCTGCAGCCCAGCTTCGGTCAAGAGGCTCCAGAGGGGCATGGGGGACAGTGAACCCAGTAGACGTGCCAGGCAGCCTCTGGAGTAGAAGAGCGCCCATTCTTTGTGATTTCAGGCTGGAAGGAGTAAAGGTCTAAGGAGTGGGCCAGGCATGGGCCTGGATGGGAGGGTCACCCTGGATGCCATCACAGAGTACTACATGAGTCCCCAGGAATCAGGGCACACACTCAAAAGTGAACAGCCAAAGAGATCACAGCCACCAAGGATAAACCACCTGTGTGGGTCTCTCTCCCCACCCTCACCTGAAGGCAAGAGCCAGGCATCCCATGGACCCAAAAGGCCACAAAGACAACAGATACCTCCTCAGGGTTTACAAAGACCCGGGCTGATACCACAACTGAAAAGGTCTGAGCCCAAAGGCCCCCTTTAGGAAGCTGCATGGGGACTGAGCCCTACCTAGGTTCAACTGTTCTGTGAACCATACTCCCACTCAGAACTGCTGAGGACTCCAGAAGGAAGAGGTCCAGGATGGCAGTCTGTCACCCACAAGGAAAAAGAGAAAGGGGAGAGAGAGAGGGAGAGGGGGAGAGAGAGAGAGAGAGAGAGAGAGAGAGAGAGAGAGAGAGAGAGAGAGCGCGCGCGCGCGCGCGTGTGTGTGTGTGTGTGTGTGTGTGTGTTGGGAGGAAGCTGGCCAGTGCTCTGTCCCTGCCCTCAAACAGCCAGCACTGAGTGGGAACCCAGAGTCGGCACACAAGAAACTAGTCCCTTCACAACCACAAGACAGGCTGCCAGCTCTCTAATTTAACTATATAAAATAGTGATTTAGCACAAGTATCATCAATGCTGAAGCTCAAGGAAAAGCAAAGTACCAGAAGCCATTGATGGGCAATTACAGGACAGCTTCCCCCCAAAAACTGCCAGTGTGACACAGCTTGGTACCCTCCCTGGCTTTGGGAGCGAGGGAATGGAGAAACTATGGCCTGTACTCACCCTCTCCTCGGCCAGCCTCTTCATTTCCTCCTGCAGCTTACTCAGGATATGTAGGTTCGGTTTGTTCTTCTTGGCATACTGCTGCAGCTCAATCACGCTCTTGTCTGAGGTCTCCTGGGAAGCACAGCACCTCCATTTCAAGACTGCCCTGGACCCCAGGCCCCACTCTCGTCCTGAGCAGAGAATATTGTACAGTCCATGCTGCTCCCACTGCCTCGTCCTCAGTGGACAGAAAGCCAGAACCTCCTCCCTTCAGAGGACAAAAGAACCCTGGCATTCAGCTATCTCTGTTCCTGCCCAAGCACAACAAGGAAGCTGGACATGGTCTCGAACACAGCTGTCAGCGAGGCACTGACTATGCCCAGAGCCCTCTGACTGGAGTGGTACCCGGGCTGGGAGGCCATCAGCCCCAGCCAGCGAGCTCTCTGCATTTGCAGACTTTCAGTACAAGATCAAACTGTCCTGAGGCCCTCCATCTCTCAGGACAACAGCTATACCCAGGGTGCCAGACCCCACCTGCCCTCCAAAAGCCTCATGCTGGGCTGCACCTGGGCTGAATCCCTCTCCCTCCAGCTTAGGAATGGTTCCTGGCCAGAGGCCAAATTGGGCTTTCTCTCCCTCAATCTTATTACCCCAAGAGGATGCACAGAAGGAAGGCATATACAAAAGGCAGAGTAAGCCCTGGCCGGTTTTGCTCAGTGGTTAGAGCGTCGGCCTGCGGTCCGGAGAGACCCAGGTTCAGTTCCTGCTAAGGGCAGGTACCTCGGTTGCAGTTCGTCCCCAGCCCTGGTTGGGTCGTGTGGGTGGCAGCCACTCGATGTGTCCCTTTCATGTCCATGTTTCTCTCTCTCTCCGTCCCACTCTATCTGAACAAAAAATGGAAAAATGTCCTCGGGTGAGGATAAAAACAAACAAACAAACAAAAACAAAAGGCAGAGTAAGCTTCATCTGCATTGCATCCGTATTTTCTCAACAATACACATCCTGAGGTTCCTCTAAGCACACTGAGGGCCTGTCACCTCCCTCACCCTGCCCTGTCATGCCCAGAGCAGGGGCCTCTTCAGGGATGGTCTGAGGGTCCACAGCATGGTCCTTGGGAGTCACCACCTGTTGTCCCCATGCTCTAACCAACTACTCCTCCACTTACTGGGGTGCTGGATAAGTCAGACCATTTCTGTAAACATCAGGGGAAAACCCAAAAATGTAAACACTCACCTCCCAAAACTTCCCTCCACCCAACAAAGCACATAAACCTAAGGGTATTGGTTTAAATCTCAAGATCTTGGCAAAAGCAGCAAAAACAAAACAGATGACACACATAGGCTGTTGAATTAAAGGTCAGGGACAGTGCGCATAGCCAAGAGAGTTGCCCTTGCATGCTCACTCTCCCTTAACCACTGGGTGGCCTCAAATTAGCACAAGGATTCCCATCACTGGACTAAGGTCTCAGGGCTGGGAGCACTCACCATCTGCAACTCCTGCTGCTCTAGCCTCTCCCCACACTGCCAGAGCCAGGCCCAGGCCCCTTGGGCAGAAATGACCCCCACCCCAACAAAGTCACAGAAATGGTCCAGCAGAGAACCCAAAAACGGCAGCCAGGAACAAGAACAGAATTGCTTGGTCCTGTAACAGCAGGACCCCAGGCAGGCACTCCAGGATTGGGAGAGAAGTCCTGTTACCTGTTTGACCATCTTGCTGCTTTCACGGCCATACATGCGCAGTAATGACCCCCAGTTCTTGACATGTGGGTGCAGCAGCTGAAGTATTTTCTGAGAGGCTAACTGCTTCCCGACTCTCTTATTTTTACCTGTGAAGAGGGAAAGGATACACAGAGAGGGAATCACAAACATCAAGCTATCCACACAGCCACCTTACCTAAAAAGGAGCTCATCTGGCCCTGGCAAGTTTGGCTCCGTGGTTAGAGCGTGGGCCCACGGACCAATGAGTCATGGGTTCAATTCTAGTCAAGGGCATGGTTGCAGTTTGTCCCCAGCCCTGGCTGGGGTCGTGTGGGAGGCAACCAGTCGACATGTCCCTCTCACATCGATGTTTCTCTCTCTCTCTCCCTCCCTCCCAATCTATCTGAAGATAAATAGAAAAATATCCTCAGGTGAGGATTAAAAAAAAAAACTCACCTGCCTTCCCCAAGCCCCCCACCCCCGAGCTGCGGGCACAGTCTATGGGAAGGAGATGGATAAGTGCCCCACCATCAAGCTGAGTGTTGGCACCTCACAAACCCCAGACCAGGATCCCTACCCCACTTCGCAGAACAGTCCATCAGAGGCTCTAGGTCAGGACCATGACCAAGGTAGGTCACAGAACTTAAGAATCCTCCCTCCCACCAAAACCCTGTATTTCTAGACACAAAGACAAGCAGCAATTGACATGTCATGAAACATGTGGCCTCAGGCTCCTTGGAGGCAGGCATGGGAGGAGGCTTTACCAAAAGGCCAATGGAAGGAGTTTTCAGAGGGTGTATGTGTGCTTTGAAAGAGGTTTCTAAACACAGGGAAGGCAGGTCCAGGGTGCAGAGTGGGTATAGAGAATAGCAAGTAGTAAGTGGGTACTCTGGCTGAGTAGGCCAAGGTCAGCAATACTTCCAGACAGGGCCTCCCAGTGGAAGGAGGGAGTCCTGGCACCAGGATCCCTCCTGTATTTCCTGCTCTGGCCACCTGCTTAGGCGCACTTCTCAGTGGGACTGGTGTCTGCTGGAGTGCAAGGCACACCAGGTCTCAAGGTGTTTCTGCAATATGCCCAGGGTCAGCTTATGCACTGACTTCTAATTTACACAGCAATGGTTTTGTGTTTACAGTAGTTACACTCTAAATGAAGAGCACAGGTAGTGGACACAGACCAGAAGGCAGAGGAGCAGTGCACACTCAGCGCAGCGTGGTGAGGCAGATACTCTGTTGCCTTTTGAATAAAGGATGCCCCACTCCACCACCACCACAGGGACCAAGAGCAGGCAGGGGACAGAGACGTCAAGAGGAGAACGTACAGCCTAGCCAGAATGACCAGTTCAAGCCTGGGAGAGAGAGGAGGACAGAGGCAGCATAGACAAGACTCTAAAGTCGAGCCTCAGGCTGTTTCAGATGTTAACATGAGATGCTGCTGGTGGACACAACTGTAGGTAGTCAGTGCACATGACTGGAACTCAGGAGCAACAGTAGGGCAGTGGCTGGGAACCAAGGCAAAGGGGCTCAAAACTCCCAGAGAGACCACACAGAGGGGTGCCAGCAGGGCAACATCCCCTAGTGGTCATCTGACAGCAAGGTGAATGGCAAGGAGGGGATGGGGTTCTTACACCAGCCGCGCACTGTATGCTTGCCGCACGCCATGACATATTCACTCTTCTGGTTTTTACCAGGAACCACTTCAAACTTGATGGATGTGTCACCCATTCCATGGTTTCTTTAAGAAAAAGAACAAATACAACAGGTGACATCAGCTGAGGAGAAGAAAACAGCTGCTTCCAGAAAATTAAGGGCTCTTTAAAGACAAAGCCAACCCTTTTCTCAAAACTGTTTTTCAGCTGAAGAAGGAGAGATTCTCCAAGAACACCCAACCTGATCCCATGGGGCTCTGATGGACCACCAGGCAGAGAGGCTTCTGTGCACACAGGGAACAGTTTCAACAGCTCTCGGCCTTTAGCACTGTCTCTTAAGCCAGGATAAACAGCCAGTAAGAATGTTGGGCACCCAGATAGAAGCCCCCACGACCTGACTTAGGATGGGAAGCCCAACCCTACCTTTTAAGGCACTCGTGGAGGATCTGATAGGGAGACAACAGTCCGGCCTTGCTGGTCAACTCGTAGACCCGTGAGTCCTCGATACTGATGTGGTTAAAATACTACAAAACAAAGCAGCCACTAAGTACTGGCCTTGCAGAGCTGCTCCCCATGCTGTCTGCTTCCCCCAGAGGCTTCCTGTCTTCCTTATTACCTCACAGAGTACCTCACACCCCCCACTTCACTGTCCAGCTTGGCCCTCTGAGACAGGGATGAGGAACCGCAGTACACCAGGCTAGAGAGAGTGCGTGGATGAGGTGGGAGACCCAGGTGCAGCGAGGGCCTGGGCTGCACAGCTAGCCAGCCTGAGGAGCCTTTTCTAAAACTAAATCTTTAGATTTCACACGATTAGTCAAATTTCTAAAGATAAACAACCTTTGGTGAAAAACTTAAAGATTATCATAAGTGAGATTACAGAAAAGAGAAGGTAAGCCAAATAAAAGCTGCACTCTAATCGGCCAATCTCCCCGAAGGTTCAAAAGGCCAGTCGCAAACACCAAGTCTTCCTGAATTTAAAACTGATCACTGAGACCAAAGAATACAAAGGTTAAGAAGGGTTAACAGGAAACCACTTAACCAGTTAAGGAAAAAAGGAAAGTTCTGCACAACAGACACCAGCCAGGAGTGGCTCTGACCCCAATCGGCCCCTGGTGAATGGAGGATGCCACTCAGGAGCACAGCCCACCTCCCCAGTGGGGGACTATGTTAGTCCCCTGGGGCTGCCATAACAAAGAATCATTAACTGGGTGGCTTAAAACTACAGATATTTATTTTCTCTCAATTCTGGAGGCCAGAAGTCAAGGTGTCAGCAGGGACCTGCTCCTTCAGAAGCCTCCTAGGGAAGATCCTTTCTTGACTGTTCCAGGTTCTGGTGGCCCCAAGTTTTCCTTGGCTTGTGGCAGCAAAACTCCAATCTCCACATGGCGTTCTTTCCATCTTCCTCCCCTCTTCTAAAAACACATAACACAGCTGCTCTGAGCAAGGAGGGGGGTTCCTCTACCTCCACCTGCTTCAGTGAGGAGACAGGTTCACTATGACTGAGTCAAGGAAAGGAAGGCACTACTTCTGAAGAGTATTGCTGATTCTGTAAACAGGAAATCCTCCTGCTATCCTTTGTCTATTTGTCTTCCAACAGGTCCCTACAAGACACCTCTACTCTCAAGTATCGACATCAGTGTGGATCAGTTTCCAGGAAAAGTTACTCACCAAGATGCCAGGCCCCGGACCCATCCTTAATGGTTGGCCAAGCAGCCAACCCATCAGCAATGTCTGGTTTTCTCATCCAGCCTGTGAAGACTGACTCTCTAACCAGTAGTCAGCACCTAAGCTATAGACCTATAATCAGGCTAAGCAGGTGGACAACCTACATACTCTACAATTCCAGGTTCCTCCCTGACAGAGCTGAAGCCAACATACACACGTGTGAATTCAGAAGCCCAAAAGTACCCAACAGGCTCTGGCAAAGGCCCACACCACAATTACCAAGTAGTGATGGCCACATATTGCTGATGGTTAAGCTGCCAGGGGAGTGTGGGGACTCCAGCTCAAGAGAGCATAGGCAAAGGGCAGAAGTGACCCACTGAAAAGAGTTCAGGAAAGCCTGAGTTATCAGTGCCTAACAGACAGCTGAAGGACCATGAGGGAGCACCACAGAAAGCCCAACACATGTAAATTCAAATATTTAGATAAAACAGACCAATACCTGTAAAATGCAAGCTACCTGCATTGCCCTATTCCAGCGATTTTCAACCTCTTTCATCTCATGGAACACATAAACTAATTACTAAAATTCTATAGCACTTCAAAAAATATATTTTTTGCCGATTTGACCCAAAAAAGGGTGTAATTTTGATTAGTGCACACCGGACAGCTATTGTTGTGTTGGCTTGTTGTCATTTTTTTTTTAATTTGACAATCTAAGGGAAAAGATGTCAGTGCCCCTGACTAAATAGTCAAGTATCACGTTTTAAAAATTCTTTCAGCACACCATTCAAAAATTGCTGCCCTATTCTATTCAAGAAATTGAACTGTAGTTATAAATTTTTCCACAAAGAAAACTCTAGGTACAGATGGCTTCACTGGTGATGACTACAAAACATTTAAGGAAGAAATGACATTGATTCAAAGGAGTCTTTAAAAAATATGAGGAGGAGGGACAATTGCCAATTCACTTTATAATGCTAAGCAGTAGTACCCTGATGTTAATTAACACCAGACCATGAAAGCACAAGAAAATGACAAACTGAAATCCCTCACAAATCAGGTATAAAAATCCTAAACAATATTAGCAAAGTGAAACCATTAACATACATACATATATCATGCCCAAGTAAGACTTATTGAGGGATGTGGTTTTTATTCCTCATCCAAAGACATACTTTTTTCATTGACTCTAGAGAGGAAGGGGGGGAGAGAGAGAGACATCGACTGGCTGCTTCCCTGACCAGAGATCGAACCCGAAACCTGGGTGTATGTGCTCTGACTGGGAACTGAATCCATGACCTCTTGTTGCACAGGGCAATGCTCCAATCAAATGAGCCACACTGGCCAGGGTCCAGGAATGCATTTTCTAAAAAATCAATCAACATAATTTACTATATTAAAGAAGAAAAACCTTATAATGTTAATAGATACAGAAAGGGCATTTGACAAAATCCAACACCTTTTCATGATAAAAACACTCAGCAAAGAAACAGAGAAACTTTCCTCAACTTGATAAAATGACCTGACAGCTAACATCATACTCAATGGCAAGGGACTGGATGCTTCCCCCTAAGATCAGGTACAAGGCAAGGGATTCCACACTCCCTACTGCTACTCAGCATTGTACTAGAGAGGTTCTAGCCAAAATAATAAGACAAAAAAAAAGAAATAAAAGTTATCTGAATTGGAAAGGAAAAGGTCTAACCATCTTTAATCACAGTCGGCCTGATTCTGTACATAGAAATTCCAAAGAAATCTATAGAAAAACTACTAGAATAAATGAGTTTCACAAAGCCACCGGATATAAGATCAATATATGAACAATAAATTGTATCTCTGTATACAATCAATGGCCAGAACTGAAACCAAAGTACTACTCACAACAGCACCAAAACACATGAAATACATACGTCTAAATGTCATAAAATAGTTGCAGGATCTGTGTGCTGAAAATGACCAAACGTCAGCGAAAGACATCAAAGAAAACCTCTAAATGGAGGTTTTACAAATTAGAAAACACTGTTGTTAAAATGTCAATTCTCCCCAAACTTATCTATAGATTTAACACAATTTCAATCAAAATCCCAGTAGAATTTTTTCATATGTATTAATGTTTCTAAATTCTATATGGAAAGGTATTTTTGAAAAAGAACAAGGAGAATTCACACTATTTGATTTCAAGACTTCAAATTATCAAGATGATATACAATTGGTAAAAGGATACACAGATCAAGGAGACAGAATGGAGAGTCCAGAGACAGACCCACACATACACAATCACCTGGCTCCTGATAAAGGTGTATAGACAATTCCAATTAAACATACACCTATACTGTATGGCCCAGGAAGACCATACTAGGTGGTTACCAATACTCACACAGCCCTGCAGTGCTGTGCTCTCCTCACTTGAGGGTTGTTGGGCATGTTCCCAATTTTGAGTGACTAGGAATAGGATGCTGTGAGGCTATTCAGGTTTCCATGTAAGCATTGATATAAACAACCCAGGCACCAGCGCCAATGACCCCACATGCATCCTGTGCACTCAAGAGCTTGGTTCAAAGGATGCCTACCCTGTGACTCCATTGACAGAACAGCTTGGAACTGGCTAATCTATAGGGACAGTTCAGTGCCTACCAGGGGATACAGGCGGAGGGAGTTTTGACTACAGAGACAGTCTGAGAGAACTGGGAGCGGGGAGACCATTTTCAAATGTTTTGTGTCTTGACTGTGCTCTTGGTTACATGACAAAACTATGCATTTATCAAAACTCACAAAACTGTACCAAAAAGTGAATTAACTTTATGTAAATTAAAAAAATTAAAAACTGGCCCTGGCCAGTTTGGCTCAGTGGTTGAGCGTTGGCCTGCGGACCAGAGAGTCCCAGGTTCGGTTCCCACTAGGGGCACGTACCACAATAAATAAACAAATAATAAATAAATAAATAAATAAATAAATAAAATAACTGTTTTAAAAAAATAAAAATAAAAAACTGGTCACTAATGCCTACATTCTAGAATATCTGTGCACCAACCAACCCATAGCTACCTAAAAAGCAATAAAATACCAACAAATCACTCCAGGCTCTCATGAAAGTGGATGGTAACAATTTTTCCCTTTTTAATCAACACCAAAGGTACTTTGCCCCTAGTCTCTGCTTCCTTCCCAAGGCGGCTCTCATATTCTGGGTGTTCTACACCTATGGCACCTTATACATGGACCTTGTGCCACTGCACCTCAAGGATGGCAGCCCACAGAAAGAGTTCCCAAAGTACCAGGACCCTCACCAATGGAGTCCAAAAAAGGAGAGGATGCTATCCCCAAAGCTAAAGCTGAGACACTGAGCCCCATAAGCACAACATGGCTCTGGTGCCACACTTTCACAAGGACACCTTGGGGAAGAGGGACCGCCACCAACGAGCCAGTCGTAAGAATGGAGCCATTCATAAGAATGGCTATTATAAGAAATAGCCAGGTTAGCACCAATATTTATGGAATAAGAGAAGGCTGTCTCTATCTGTCAAACATGTGCTAATCTAAAGCCTCAAACTGATCATAAATTTCCTTTTCCTCTGCCAAATTTCAAAACGAGAGAAAAACAAAGCATGCAGGTATGCACATAGAAAAATTAAATTAGAAGTTTAAAATAACCTCCCAAATTTGAAAGCAGTTCTGGGAGGGAAGTTCATAGCACTACAGGCCTATCTCAGAAAACAAGAACAATTTCTAATAGATAATCTAACCTCACAACTTAAAGAACTAGAAAGCAAGCAAAAAGAAAACCCCAGAGCCAGTAGAAGAAAGGAAATAGTAAAGATCAGAGCACAAATAAATGACATAGAGACCAAAACAAAAAACAAAC